GACTTTAGAAGTGAAATCAAAGATTGACTCTAGAGAAAAGCTGTCTGAACATTATCATGAGTTTTTGAACATATTTGATAAAGAAGCTGCTGATGCTCTACCCCCACTTCATGACTCAGATAAAGATCATGAGATTGAACTGATTAAAAAGACTGATGATAGCACAGAACAACTCCTTTGAGACTTATTATATAATATATCTTGAGAGGAACTACTGGCTTTGCAAAAGACTCTTACAGATTATATAGATAAGAATTTTATTAGAGTGAGCAACTCCTCTGCAGCTGCTCTCATACTATTTATGAAGAAGTCTGAGAATGAGCTAAGATTCTGTGTGAACTATCAAGCTCTTAACAAAATCATCTGAAAGAATTGATATTCTCTATCATTAATTAGTGAGACTCTACAGTGAATTGAACAGACTAAATGATTCACTAAGCTGGACATTATTGCAGCTTTTCATAAGATTTGAATCATGAAAGATGATGAGTGAATGATAGCCTTTAGAACCAGATACAGACTATTTGAGTGACTGATTACACTCTTTGATTTGATCAATGCTTTGAGCACATTTCAAAAATATATCAACTGAGCATTACATAGATATCTGAACAACTTCTGCTCAGTTTATTTAGATGACATCTTGATATTTTTCTCAAGAAGCTTATGAGAGCATCACAAGCATGTACAAAAGATGCTTATGTGTCTATAGAAAGTAGGTCTGCAGGCAGACATCAGAAAAAGTGAGTTCAAGATGAACAGTACAAAATATCTTGAATTCATCATTGAAGTGAACAAGAGTATATAAATGAATCTGAAGAAGATTAAAGCTGTTTTGAAATGAGTGACACCTACTACTCTTAAAGATGTATGAGGATTTTTAGACTTTGTCAATTTCTATAAATAATTTATCAGAGATTTCTCAAAGATTGTAATCTCACTGATAATTCTTACATGCAAGAATATTTCTTTTTTGTGGATGAGCAAGGCTGAGGAAGCTTTTAAGTGTCTAAAATCAATGTTTATCTCTGCTTCAATTCTGCTTCAATTTGACTCTAACTGTGAGACTATATTGAAAATGAACTTCTCAGATTATGTCTCAGAAGAAGTGCTGCTACAATATGATGAGCAGAGTATTTTACACTCATGTGTCTTCTTCTCTCACAAGCATTCACCTGCAGAATGCAACTATGAGATTCATGATAAGAAGTTATTAGCAATAATTAAGTGTTTAAAGAAATGAGATACTGAGCTATGAAGTGTAAAGAAATTCAAAATTCTCACAGATCATAAAAATCTAAAATACTTCATGACTACACACAGACTAAATGAAAGACAGCTACATTGAATGAATATTCTCTATCAATTCAACTTCAGAATTAATTACTGATCAGAGAAGTTGAATACTGAATCAGATGCTCTATCACAAAGAGAGCAGAACATGTCACAGAGTGCTGATGATGAGAAAATCAAGCAGAGACAAGCTTAACTACTTAAGTTTAATGTACTAGCATCTGAAATGAAATCAATAGTGATCACTGTCAGTGTGAAATCTGAGATGTCTCTTCAAGCTCAGTGAAATGAGACTTACAAAAATGACAAGATTCTGCAGTGTCTAAAGCAAACTCTTCATGAGGAAAGATTCAGATTTTCTTCTAAATTTGATATTAAGATCTTCATTTCTGAGTGCTCTTTAAATGAGAATGAGGAGCTTCTCTTTCAAGATTGTAAGTGAGTGTCAGACTTTGAATCTCTTTAAATCAGATTAGTGCATAAGACTCATGACTCACCTCTTATCAGTCATCTCAGGTGAGAGCAAATGACAGAAGTTCTAATACATGAGTTCTACTGATCAGACTATATCACTGATGTGAGAAGAATAATCAGAAACTGTCATCTTTGCAGATCAAACATCACATGAAGAGATCAACATCAGAGACTGCTTAAGTCTTTTCTCATTTCTGAACACATGTGGCAGAAGCTTTCTATGAACTTTATTATGAACTTATTGAGCTCTAAAGAATACATGAACATCATGATTATAACAGACAGACTGATCAAGAGAGTTATATTAAAAGCAGTTAAGAAAACTGATGTGAAGATAGTGACTAGAGTGTTTCTTCACAACATTATTTCTTGACATGACATTTCTAAGGCAGTAGTGTTAAATTGAGAGTCAGCTTTCACAAGCATGTTTTGAACTTGAGTGTGTGAGAAATTAGACATTAAAAGACAACTCTTCATAGTCTATCACTCAGAGACTGATGAAGCTACAGAGTGAATGAATCAGACTTTGAAAATCTATCTACACAAGTATATTAGCTTTCAACAGAATGACTGATGTGAATGACTTTCTTTAGCAGAGCTGATCATTAATAATAGAGATGCTGTCTTAATAGACATGAGCTTATTCTTTTTAACATATCTTTTTCACATCTTCTTCATTGATATAGCTGATGCACCATCTGTTGAAATATTATATAATCTCATTGAGTTTGCAGATGATTACATGAGAAAGACTTATGAAGTGTTGAAGTGAGCTCAAGTAAAAATGATGAATGCTCAGCAATCTCAAGAGAAATATGTAAATAGATGAAGAGACTCAGCTTCAAGCTTTCAATCTGAAGATAAGATCTGATTGAGCTTAGAGAACATAAGAACTAATCATCTGTGCAAGAAGCTGAACATGAAATACAATCAATATACTGTGCTAGAAAAGATAGAATCTCATACTTATCAACTGAATGTCTCATCTGACATTCACAATGTCTTTAATGTAAAGCTTCTACATGCTGTGATGACAGATTCTTTGTCTAGTCAGAGGCAAACTGACTGGCAGTCACCTGCTATAGAGATTCCAGAAGGACCTGAGTTTAAGATTGAGAAAATTCAGAGTGAATGAATCTATCAGAGAAAAAAGCAATATCTCATTAAATGAGTAGATTGAACTGAGTCTATATGAAATGATGCAAGTCTTCTACAAGAAGTGAAGACCTTGAATGCTTAGGAGACCTCTCAGCAGGCAAAATTAGATGTAAAAAGAGCTTTAAATAGTTGTAAAGACCTGCAACAAAGAGGGAGAAGAGGGGTATTATAAGAGATTAAACCTCTAGATTCACTCTGACTGGCTGACTCAGCCTAACCATCATTTGCACATGCGCACATGATCATGCTATCTCTAGATTCGCTCTGGCTGGCTGACTCAGTCTAGTCATCATTTGCATGTGCGCATGTGATCATGCTATGTGAGCTTGCTTAAGCTTGAGTTCTCATCTCATTCTTTTCTTCCTTTTTTCAAGCAATTCATCCTTGTTATATAGAAGGACTAGCCTCTAGTTCTTAGAGCTTAACCCTTTACAGCAATATCTCATAGTCAAATTATATTCAAATATTACTTACATAGCATCTCTTCTAATGTAGAAGAATGCTGCTCTAACTCTTAAAATGTGAAAAGCTCTACTTTATATTATATAAAATTTAAAAGAAATGAATAATCTAAACATATTATATGAAGAATTTGATGATAAATGCACTCAGTTCTTAAATACTATATTCATACTTATTGAATATATAAATTCTGATTAAATTGAATTTTTGAATAATAATCAAAAATCTACATCAAGTTTTATTTTATTGCTGATGAGTATCTCAATTTCATGACAATTCTCTAAGTAATCTTGCATCTCTTTGAGCTCTAATAAAGCTGAATATATAACATTTAGCAGAGCTGTATATAAGACTATATGAATATATAATATGATGTTGAATATGAGATTTATTATAAAGAACCCTCTGCAGATTAAGACAGATAATAAGAACTTGATTGATCTTGCCACTGTGACAGCAATTATCACATGTAGCAAGCATATTGACACTGTTAGGCTCAGCGTCCGACCGAAGGCCGGTGCCCGGTTAGACTCGACGTCGGATTAAGCTCGGCGCCCGATTAGGCCTAACCCACATCACGTGACCATGCGACCATGCGGGTCGCTCGATTAGGCCTAACCCATATCACGTGACCACACGACCATGCAGGTGGTTATAATCCACGCAGGCCCCCAGCACCCCCTTTTCATCCCATCAAGCTTAGTATTTCGTTATATAGCAGTTAGCAACGCAGAGAGTCTTTCTTCTTATGCAGCTCGCATTCGCTCCCTAACAGACACTAGATTCCACTATTCCTGTACACAGTTGAATGAGAGGGTGATTTCAATTGACCATGTTCCTACAAAAGATATGATGACAGATGGACTTACAAAATCTCTGAGCACAGTGGCATTTAAGTGTTTTATCAGCTTACTAGATCTTTCACAAGGAAATTAGTTCATTCTAGCAAAATCTTGTATGTAGTGTGTTTTTGTTGACATCTAGAATAGGATAGCTAGATTTTGAATACGCAGGGGATATAATATCTCGCACGTTGGTGCGTGGGGGGTTGTTTGGCGTGTGTTGCCCGGGCTGCCGCCCCGCCGCACGTGATATAGCGTATATTAGATAGCTAGCTAGGCCTCCCAATATGAGAGATTCAACCATCCCACATTAACTAACTAGTTATATGTTTTCAATAACTAGTTGAATGATCATATCTCATATGCCTGTGATTCAGAGAGATATCCCCCTCTCTTTCATGGAACATTATTCATTGAACTAGAGATTCTTCTTCAATTGAGGTTAGCTTTTGATTGCCTTGTTGAGAATTCAGTTGTAGTCAGTAGGATAGGCTTGAAAGAGCAACATCATACACCTTGGCAGTTGTTCACATGCTTGAAAATTGCTTAGTTTCATAAGCTCTAATGGCTAAAGAAGTTTTCCTTCCTATTGAAAGCTTGATCTTTTAAGATGGTGGGCATATTGAATGATTTGGTGGATTCAGACGGTTGGAATGGAACGGTGTTCTCGTAGGTGATCGCTTACGTTAACTAGTAACTAGTTAGTTACCTACCATGAATTAATTAACTATCATATCAACAAAAAACATTTGGGAAACAGATGTGTAAAGCATGGCGTCTCAGCAGGATACCCTTAACAAGATACGCCAATTCGCTGAAAGCAATCGCAAACTCGAAGAAGAACGCGCCAATCATCCAATTGACCATCATGCATATAATCGCCAACTTGACCAAACCCTAAAGCAGCTTCAAGATCAAGTAAAACGCCAGGAATATGCCTTGCAAGAGGTTAGTTAAATTCAATGTCAATTGTCCTACACCTCTCCCATGTCCGCAATCCAATCCTGTCCCAAAAAAAAAATAAAATAATAAAAAATAAAATAATAAATAAATAAAAAAAAAATAAAAATAAAATAAAATAAAAAAAATAAAAAATATATCGTAAAGACTAACTAGAAACACAAAACCCGTCCAGCTCCATCTCTCCACTGCAACCACACTCCCCAGCCCAGGCCTTAGCCCACATGCACGTCTCGCCCAAACCCGCCGCGCAACAAAAGCCTACAACTCCCTCTCCCAAACAGACCCAGTCCTACCACCCCCAGATTCCCCCCTAAGCCCCCTGCTCGCCCTACGTGAAACATTCCGCCAGATCCTAGACCTCAAATCCAGCATATCCACTGTAGCTCACCACCTCAGCACGGACCGTGAACGACTAAAAGCTGAAGAAGCAGCCCTAAGCGACGCAAGACTAATTAGCACCGGTCTAGATGAGCGCATAAGGGACCTGCAAACCATGCGGGCAGGGGATCGGGAGAAGGCGAAGGCGCCCACGCAGCTAGCGAAGGAGGTCATGCAGCAACAGCGCAGGCGCAAGGTGGAGTTGGAGAAAAAGACGACTGCGCTGAGGGAGGCGTTAACGGGGTTTGTGGATGAGCATTTGGCCTCGATGTTGGCGGCGGAGGATTTGGGGGGGCCAGTTGTTGGGGATCAGATTGATGTGCCTGATTGGACGTTGGAGGCGGGTTATACGGCGCATGGGAAAGAGAAAAAGGCTACAGGTGCCGCAAGTGGTGGTGGGACTACAGGTGCGGGTGCGGGGAGGGAATCGAGACAGCAGCGCATTGATGAATTCGTCCGTCGCCGGTCGCGTGGACGTGGGGATGGAGTTGGAGATGGAAATGGCGATGACGACGACCAAGGGGGAAGAGTAAGTAATAAACGTGAGGCGGCCGGAGCGGAAATGCATTCACTTCTTGATTCGTTGCTAGAGGTGGCGGAGACTTCTTCTTATATTGAGCTGGAGCAGGAAACTGCCGCGTCTAGGTTCCTTGTCAAGGCCAAAATTGCCCAGTTTCATCCGCGTGATGCGCGCCGTTTGCGCTTGATTGATTTTGCGAGGGAATTGGTTGACTGATTTATAGAAGTGTTCTGTGTTTCTGCCTAATTTTTATAAAGAGTTCACAAAGGGATATCCACCCGAACTACATAAAATTATATCTGGCGAATTGTTCTTTTCTGTCCTGGCAATTAAAGAGTTCCAAACAACACACCACCCCAAACCTAGTTGATGGTATCATCCCTCAGCGCAAAAAGCTGCTTTACCAACTCGTCCGTATTCTCACGAATGGCGTTGTGATACATGACATTCGTGACGAATTGCTTGCAGTTCCTAATCTTTGTTGCGGTTTCTGTTGCCAATTCGAAATGTACATACATATCATCTACGAACGTTGCTGAATATACTGGAACCTCATTCTTTGCCAGTTGCTCTTCATCATACAAATCTGGCCATCCATCATAGGCTGCGATTATGTCTGAAGCTGGTTTGATCTTGCTAAGCTCGCTAGATGATTCAAACATGTGTGGGTATATCTGCGCGTACATTACGTACAGGGCAATTGTGTGTCAATTTTGGGTGTTATTTGTCCTAAAACGGAGAATATGTTCCACTCACCATTTCTCCCGTAAAATACACTGGGTCTCCAGCAAAATTGATTTGGAATTGAGGATACTTTGATATCAATTTGTCCGCGCACCAATTGGATGCCTCCCTATTGAAAACGTTAAATATACCGACAGATACAAATTTATCAGGTTAACAAGGAGCCACACACCCTTGGCAATATATAACTTCATGAAGGACTGAGTAGAGGATAGCATTGTCGAAGGTTGAAGCATTATCGAGTATTGAAATTGTCGGGGTCGTCAGAAAGTGGAAAGTTTCCAACTCGCTGTGAGTCCGCAAGATGATGTCTGTGCCAATTAATGATCTGAAAACAAGGGCACAATTGTAATACGTGGAAACATACCGTGGATGGAATCCAGGCCCCCTATTTTTCAAAGTTAGCCAAACAGATTTACCCTGAACTAAGATAAGAGATTATTGTCTGCCACGTACCTCGCATACCAAACGATATCCCCATCGAGAGAAATCGTGAGGCAGTTAGTATGCCATTCGGGAGCTGTATTGGGTTTTCATTCAGATACCGCAAAATATCATGAACCCTGCTGACATCCTCGGGAAACTTAGAGTAATATGCCACATTCCGTTCCAGAACCTTTTCTGTTGCGCTTCAGCTAAAGTAGCCATGTCAGCCAATATCTTTGGAAACATACCATATGTTCGTTTGAGTACAGACTCAGGACCTCTTCTGAGGGGAGGAAGCCCCCCAGTAGTGAAAACCTCTCGCAAGGCTTCAGGGCTACACAGCTAAAGTCAGCCTCCATACAATCATGCAGGAGCACGACAAAGGAGGAAGTCTGGTAATCGTAAACTTGAAGCTCACAATTTCGAAAGATACGTAATTGCGCAGAAACCACCAAAACTCTGCCCGAGGAGAGTCCATTTCTTCTTCTCCGGCGGGTAATCTGCAGTCAAATAACCACGGATAGCCTCGCAATCCCGTACGATGTTATCAGCACGGAATAGTTTAAGGTATTCGGCTTGCTGGATGGCATCTCCCACGAGACCAAGGGTGGCAGCAGTAATTGGAGTACTCAAACCCGTCCCTCGCTGGTCGAGCAATAGGATCTATATCCAAAGTAAGTGAAAATTGACCAATGAGAGTGATGAGAGGGGAGAGATGCTTTCGGTTAAATATAGTTATCAACTTCGGACATTGAACCAGACCAAATAAGAACAATAAGCATAATAATCAGAGCTCACTATTCAAATCACATACCTGATATCCCTTATCCAGCACAATCTGCACCCAGCCAAGGTCCTGGGGCGGAGAGCAACCCATTCCCGGCCCGCCTTGAAGATAAACAAGCCAAGGCAAGACCTTTGACTCTCGAGCTAGGTCAGTTCCTGGTTCTCTACGAGCTACGGTCCGCCCAAAGAGCCGGATGGTGGCTTCATCTGGCCGATTGTAATTCAGTGGGACATCCCAGAACCATTCTGTCACTCTCAATCTGCCTGTTGATTGTATTAGCAGGAGATTTAAATAACTAATTATCAGGTATTTATGGTTGCAAGAATCTACAAAATTGGTTTTGTATTTGACATAGCAACTGAAAGGAGGACAGCAACACACCTGGGACAAAATGCGGACTCGACCGGGCTAGTTTTGCGAGCCACATGATTGGGAATTTCGGGATATTTGATGCACAACAGGAGGAATCAACTGGCAATGCAAGAGTGTCTTTCATGTAATGAGTACCTCAGGAGGTTGTGGTAGAGATAATCTGAGGGGTGATTGTTAGTCACAATTTTTTAGGTTGCAGGGTCTGGACATGAAATAAAGGTAACTGAAAGTAAAGTTCACAGAAGCGATCACTATAAACTATCTATACAGATATCATAAAACTAGCTTAAATGCAACAGTTACATTGACAGATTGGCAAGCTGATTCATTGAAGAGTTTGCACGCTACGAGAATGACTATATATAGTGGAAAACAGGTCCTGTGAGAGAAGTATCCGACACCCCCACTCACCATAGTAGGAGTAGTCAATATTATATACAACAATAGGCCTACTGCCTAGTACAGGTACAGAATCAACTGGAAAAACAAAACTGAAAATAAATCAGTTAAAATGAAGGCATTGAAAGAGAAAAATCACTCATCCTCTCAACTCTACAATCTCTTTCCAGGGTGTGAACTTAGTGGCTCGGTGAGATGATAAGCTGAAGGCAAAACAGCCTGATCAGCAGTGTCTAGGTCATTATTGCATGGCTCAACAAAGTATGCTGGAATGATAATAACCTCTGCAAGGTTCACAGTTTGGAAGGAATTGTCATCATCTGTGACAGAAGACTTGACAGCAGGATTGTCAGCTGTCTTGCTCTCACTGTTGTCCTTATCCCTACTCTTTTTCTTGTTAAAATCCTTTATTTTATTGGTGTTATTCTTCCGTCAATCCTCAGGGGCTGTGTCCGGGTGGGCTAGCCAGCAGATTCCATGATGCTGAGCATTGCATCCTGAGCAGGTAGGTAGGGTCCCCAAGATCACAGCCATGGTAGGCACTGGGCTGGGTGTTGAAATAAGATTCTGAACAGGATAGGTTAGCAGCATTGACCTGAGTAGAAGGAGGCGCATTCTTTTTCTTATTCTTTGAAGGACCAACTTGAGATTGAATTTCTTTCGTGATTGGAATCACATCCAGTATTACAACTGTATATTTAGAGGTCTGAACCTCCTCAATCTTCTTCTGAACATAGTTCCGCCAAGCGGTGGGAAGGGCTGAGTAAAAGATATGAAATATCAAGTCCTCAGATGGAAAGGCTTCAAGTGCCTTCAAGTCATCAAGAGTCATATGTAATTTGTCAAAGAAAAGGTGTATATCTTCTGTCCTTGAGTTGGCAAGTGCCACAAAAGCAAGATAAGCTTCTCATTGAAGCTGTGTCTTTGGAATTGAATATTCCTCCTCAATTGCATGCCAAAGGGAGGAGGCAATGCGAACCTCATCAGTCTTTATAATGTGAGATTTGACAGAGGAACGAAGGGAGCTGGACAGAAAGGTGTAGGCTCATCAGTTCTTTGCTTCCTGGAAGAGTTTCCATTGAGAATTGTCAGATGGACTCTGAGTTTGCTCCTTCTCTATTAGGACCCAGCACTGGGCATCCACTATTCTAGACCTCATTGAGGGCTTCCAGGTCAAGTAGTTGGCTGTGCCAGTGAGCATGTTTGGTTTATTAATGCCATTTGTGTCCCCTTTGAATGGAGCAATTGCCTTGCCAACATCACTATCCGGGTCGTAAGCATGTTCAAATACAGTACCAATCTCGGCATTCCAGGCCCTAGTTGGCAGAGCCATGGGGGGATTGGCAGTAGTAGAGGTATTGTCAGCAGCAGTAGGGGCCGCAGCGGCGCGAAGGTGTTCTAGTTGAATCTCTAGTTCTAGAGTTCTTCGTTTCTCTTGTTCCCTAGCAAGCTCAGACTTGCTAAGTGCCAGGCGGATCATCAGATTATCATCAGCGGTTGAGGTTTCAAAGGATCCGGGGTGTGCCTAGGAGGTAGGGGATTTGGTCCGAAGTGACAGAGCTGACAGAGTCAATTCGCATTCGGGAGTGTGAACGCGTTTATAGGGGCGATCTCACTGTAATCTGCCATCTTGCCGTTGAATTCAAGGAATTGAGGGCAAGGATTTTTGGTTAAAAATTAGGTGACCAAGGGGTCAAGTCAACGTAATAAAGGCTTCTAGGAGGGCCTCTGTAATCTTAGAGGATTATCTCATCGAAATGTGTGTCTTTTTGGGGGGGTGGCTCGCAAGCCAAAATATCCTATAAAATTTCTTCTTCGCGTGTCGCCAAAGATTCAGGAACGCGTCGAGGACTCCGCCAAATAGGGAGCGTAAAGAATAAATAAGATGATTTATAGATAAAACGAAGGAAGCAGTCGCTGATTTTCGACGAGATAACTCCCGAATTGGCTGCGTTTTGAAAGCACAACAGGTCTCATAACCTGACAGAGTGGGAAGCTTGATTGATTGCAGAGTTTGCACGCTAGTTACAGACTTTAGCGAAACATCGCAATCATGAGCATTCAACCCCTACAAAATCCCCAAGAAGATGACTCTGCTCTTCAAATCTGGCAAACGGCCCTTTCTCCATGGACCTCATCCATTCTCCCCCAAGCTATCAATCTCTCCAGGGCCCGCGCATCACTTATAACCCCGCTCCCCGCCAACGGCCTGGGGTTTTCAGAGACAAAAAGACATATCTTGAACGATATAATCCCTGGCTTCAACGGCAGCAGTCTATGCCCTAACTACTACGGCTTCGTTACGGGAGGAGTAACCCCCGCCGCCCTGCTAGCGGACAATATAGTATCGGCCTATGACCAGAACGTCCAGGTGCATCTGCCAGACCACTCTATTGCAACAGAAGTGGAGCATCAAGCATTGAACCTTCTGCTTGATTTATTTGACCTGGATCATAAGAATTGGCCGCATAAAATTCTGACGACCGGTGCGACAACAAGTAACATTCTTGGTCTGGCGCTTGGGAGGGAATTTGTTCTTCGGGCCGCTGTGGAGAGGAAAGCTGGTGTAGATAAAGAGGTGAAGAGTGTGGGGGAGCATGGTGTGGCAGAAGTATTGCTTGCTGCTGGCCTAAAGGGAGTGCAGGTTCTAACTACATATCCACATTCGTCGCTGGGAAAAGCGGCGGGAATTTTGGGTATTGGTCGGGCGAATGTCAGGAGTGTCTGTGTTGCTGATCTCAGTGAGGGTGTGAGCCAGCGTCCGCTCATGTTTGATATCGACGCTTTGGAAAGGGAGCTGGCCAGAGGCGATATGGCAAGCATCGTTGCAGTGTCCTGTGGGGAAGTGAATACAGGACAGTTTGCTACGAAGGGTCTTGAAGAGTTCAAGAAGATACGACAGCTTTGTGACAAGTACGGTGCTTGGCTACATGTGGACGGGGCGTTTGGGATATTTGGTCGTATTCTGAAGGGTGAAAGCAAGTTTGATCATATTTTGGCAGGGTGTCAGGGACTTGAGCTGGCACATTCCATTACGGGAGATGCTCATAAGTTGCTTAATGTCCCTTACGACTGCGGATTTTTCTTCTCTCATCATGGTGGTCTGGCGGAGGATGTCTGTCGTAACCCTAGCGCTGCATATCTAAGTAGTGGGAATGGCGACGGCAACACTTCAATCTTAAACCCCATTAATAACGGCATCGAAAACTCCAGGCGTCTCAGAGCACTGCCCGTTTATGCCACATTAGTTGCTTATGGAAGAGATGGATATAGAGATATGTTGAAAAGGCAGATAAGACTGGCCAGGTTGGTTGTTGACTGGTTATTTGAGCACCCTGCGTACACTGTTCTTCCCATTACTCCGGCAAAGGAAGAGCTTTTGCACAATACGTTTATGATTGTTCTATTCAGGGCAAGAGATGAGGGCTTAAACGGGGTACTGGTGAACAAAATCAATGAAACTTCAGAAATGTATGTTTCCGGGACGATTTGGGAGGGAATACCTGCATGTCGAATTGCAATATCAAACTGGAGGGTGAATGAGAAGCGAGACTTTGAGGTAATAACTTCTGTGCTGAATGGAATTATTCGATAGTTCAGAAGGAGAAAGATGTTTGTATATTTTCTTGGATATATAGAGGATATCACAGCCTCAGATTCACAGCTATCTTCGACGACCTGCAGATGGGGCATCGTTTCTATCGGCAATACTAACAACCTCACCAATACCAGCCTCTTCTTGCTCATCCTCCAGTGCCGTAATTTCCTCTCTGCAATCCCACCACTTCTCTTCAGCTAGGGTGAACGCTTCTTTTCTCAGCTCTTTAACAGACATCTCTGACCCAGCCTGTTCCACTTTCATCTTTGACATCAACATATCCTGCCAATCTGTCGATGTCCTGGCGAAGAAATCCCTCAGAGACTCGAAAGGTCGGGGATGCGGCCTAGAATCCTGGACAGGAGTTTCTATTTCCTGCTCGATTTCTGTTTCCGTCTGCACGAGCTCCGTTACACTTGTTGTCGCAGTCGATGCAACCTCGACGAACTCCATATCTTCATCTTCATTGCCGCCTTCACCTTCCTCTGCTTCCTCATCCTCCTCATCCTCTTCATCACTCTCAATTTCCATCGCGTCATTCCAATGTTCGGGCTCGTTGTAGAACAATTCCTTCACTCCGTCAAGCTTTACTAAATCAATGGAGTACATATCATTAAAAGTAAATTCGTGATCTCCCCGCTCAAAAGTCCCGCTAAAGATAAACAGTGTATCATCTAGAACCGCAAGCTGGGAGTTGAACCGCCGATGCGGCATCTCGAAGCGAACTGGCAAGTCACGCTTCTCATCAATCTCTTCTTCCTCTTTTTGTAGTAAATCGATATCCATCGCCTCGGATTTTATCTTATTTGTGTTAACCTTGGCTTCAAGGAGGGCTAGGTTACGCATTAACTCCTCTTCATCGGCTTTGCCCCGGTTCCGTTTCAGAGCCTGCATAGCAGACTGCTGCTTCTTTCCAGGCCCTCGAGGGCGGCGAAGAGACATCTGGAAAAACCGGTTTCGATCTGTGTTCCATGCGTAGAGATCATCGAAGAATTCACTCTCAATGCCCTCTTCGCTCGTTTCGACATCGTGGACACCACCAAACATAATCCCTCGTCCCTTGTGGAACGCCATGGTTGCACCCGCCCGCGGTGGGTTTGCTGGATTAGCAGGTTTCTTCCGTCGCTCCCACCGAATTGTAGGAACTGAAGTTGCAGGAGCGTCGGGAGGAGGCGGGGTGATTCGCAAGAACCAGGTATCTTGGTGAACGACTGGCTTGAGAATCGTACGCTGTGCTCCACCTTTCTGTTGCTTGTTGACTGCAGTGTTCGTCTTTACTCGAGAATATCCTCCGTATAAAACAGCACCGGATTCGTGCGGAAGAAATGAAAACGACGATCTAGCGTCTGGCTTTTGCGACGCCGGGGGAAAAACCACATTGTGCCATAGATAATTTTGGCAGTCATATATCCATAAGTCCTGGAGGTACTTTGTCTGCTGGGATGTGTCCTGGAAGCCTCCAAAAAGTATTATGTAGTTCTGGGGGAACAGTTAGGATGTAGGAGGTATTGTAGATTTCATAGATACCCAAACAAGGCCGGATCATAGCTTCACAGTAGAAACTGTTACACTTAAGAGGCACCATAATGGAAGCATGGGTGGGCGAAATACCTTAAAGTATGTCATTCTATGTCCACTCCTCGCGGGTGGGCCTTTTCCTTTTGTCTCAATTCTGCTCCATTCTCTGGTTGACGGATCAAGGCACCAGAAATCATTATAATGATAAAAAGTCCCTTGTTTCGGCGAAGAAAATTCTCCTATATATCTATAATCAGTAACTAACTGTTAAAAAGTAATACTTAGAAGCACGCTTTCGAGTTTGCGCATTACCTCCAAACAAATAAATTCCTCCTGAATTTCCTCCACGGCACCAGGCATGTCCACTCCTAGGAAGAGGGCTATTCGGGCTAGTGACCTCTCGCCACTCATGCTTGTCAACTTGATACACGTAAAGATTGTTGTAGAAAGTAGCCAGAGTGCCATCAAAATGTTCACCCCCGAAGAGGAAGAGCTCATTTCGACCTGCTGGAGATGCAATTAGGGCGGAGGAAGACCGTGGGGTTGGTGGCCCACTGGGGACCTCAGTGACCTTCAAGAACTTGGCTTGCTCTTTTGCATATGCCGCCAACACGGCGTCCAGATCGATGTCTTCAGCATCACTGTCATCAGCCTGTCCCTTTGCTCTGATTTTCTTCTCTTTCTGAGCCGCTTTCTTAGACTGTTTTGCGGCCACACGAGCTTTCTGCTCTGCAGTCTTGGATTTTTTATCTTTCTTTGCCATTTTACAGGATATGGGAGAGAAGATACTCAAGTTAGAACCCTCTCCCCTCCCATGCGCGTACTTTGGTTGACACAAGGCCCACACCAAGTGAAGTTCAGCAATCTCAAGTTGAAATATGGGTGACAAATAACTTACTAGAAACGAAATCTTAATTACCTCTACGGAGTATAGTCTGTAAGATGGGGGTGTGGCCACTCAGAGCATCCCATTTTCGTCGCTGTTTTTAGCTCAATCCTGTCCACGTGACGTGAAACCTACGCCGCTTTTATTTCAGTAACACACCTCACATCTCTTGTCAGCAACCATACTCAAGAGACAGCGATAATCGCAATGTCGTATCTACAAGCTATCGATGCTCGGCCTTGTTGTAGGATGGTGATGCTCTACTCCTCACAATGTATAAATTTGATGTCTTCCGCTCCTTTGAAGCATTTCCTTTGTTCACTCTCAGTGATACTGTCTGTCTCTACTGTCTTCACACACAATTATTTACACTGCTTCTTTTCAGTCTCCTTGTGCTAGTTACTTTCTCTGCTTCCTCCTGTTATCTGAAAGACATGTTTTCTCAATAGACTTGCTTCTGAAAGCTCTCCAAACCCACCAAGTAGACCTGACATGCCTGGAAGAAGATAGTCAAGGAGCTCACTCCAGATGAATGCCATGCAAGAGACACTGTCAGATTGACTTAATTTCAGATCACAGGCAAGAAATATGCTGATGCTACAATTATTGCCATCAATCATGTTCAGTGTTTCTGGAACCAATGAGTCTCATGCATATCAGATTCATGGTGAAATCTGCTAACATCTCTTGTGAAGACACTGTTCATTTATAAGAGTTGACATATGTGATAGCGTAGAACGAGCGGGCTCCGTCCAGCCTCCTCGACAGCGTAAGGCCACGGGCCGAGGCGATCGGTAATCACAACTGCCTAGGCAATGGCATAGCAACCAACCCCACAATTACCCCGCATACGAATAACACGTAAACGTGGGAACCGCCTAGCAAACGGCGCTAAGGAAAAGGGCTATATAAACAGAGCCTTCCCCGAACCCATCTCTTAGGAATCATCTTAGTATTCGCTCAGATAAGCTTACCTAGCTGGCAATCTAACACCTGTTTCACATGCGCCTAGATTGAAGCCTTGACAACATACACTTTCATCTTTTCATATGTATGAATAAGAACTTTTGAGTTTATGCTGATTGAAAATTGAAAAATTTCAACATCATCAAACAGAGTATGATTTAAGTTGAATGGAAATTCCTTCAACTGCTTTTTAAAAGAGAGACAAATCAAAAGATGAATGAATTGATAAGTAAACTAATCAGTAAGATAGATTTTCAGCTCAAAACATCATTTTTTTTACTTTTAATTCTCAATATTAGTTTATTTTTAATTTTCTGATCAATAAGTATGATTTGAACCTATTGAATAATTATAAATCAATAGTAAATATAAAACTTTGTGATTATTCTTCATTACTGTTAATATTTGAATATAGTATCTGTTATTTATAAATAATATATTTTGCAGAATTTATTGTTTATATTATTTATTATATACATCTCAATACAACTCATAGCACTCATCAAAAATGATTATTTTTATAATTTCAATGAAGCTCTCTGCTATAAAAATATTATATTATATATGATTTCTAATTCAAATCAACTGAACTGATATATACTTGTGAGGAAAATATCTCTAATAATCATAAAATAAAAATAAAATAAGTCATAATTATAAACTTTATTTATCTAACATTTTATCTTTAAAAAATTTATTTAAATAGAATAATTTATATTTTTCATGAATAAGATAATAATCTCACAATTTGTTCTATCTTTTACTTTCTTGTTCTGACACTAACTGATAATATATTTAATATAAGAGATATCAACTTAATTAAAAATATATTTCAAATTCAAATTCTGATATTCTGTAACAATCTACATTTGAAATGAAAATCTCACATGCTCAATGTTAGAGAGTGAATGCAAGCTGCATAAGAAGGAAACTCTTTGTGTTGCTAACTGCTATGTGATAAAATTCTAAGATTGATGAGAAAAAAAAGATGTCAGAGTCTGCTCAGATTATAAACAGCCCATGTGATCACATGACCAGATCATGACCAATCTACTCAGTCACATGTGGGGTGTGGTCATGTGATGGAGCTAAACCTAGCCCTGGTGTCAAGTCTAATATCACCTTCTGATCTAGAAACAGACATGTTCTCATGCTAGAAGATCTTCATTGTCTTCATCTTTCAGATAGCTGCCTGTCTCTCATGTCCTTTCTCATTCATCTAGGCATTTCAGTGGTCTGGCTTTAGTAGAGTTGGCCTCATAGAAATTTTATATTATATATGATGATTCCTTGAACTTGTAGGTAAAATATTATAAAGAATTCTCATCAAATTTATTTCAATACATCTGATACTGCAGCTTGCTCTGACTTATTTGACTGGCCAGTATATGATTTATTTCTTATTCATTTTCATTATCTATTTCAATTAGATCTGGTGATCTGACAGTCTGGTCAGGTAGAAAATCTCTGAAGTTCTTGTATAGTCTATTTAAAGAGAAGATTAAATGAATTTTTATTATTGCAGAGGTTCAGTTTGTAGACATTGCTCATCTTTTTCAGAATTCTGAAGAGACTGATATTTTGCTCTGTCAGTTTATGACTTGATTAATTCATCTTGTATGATTTCAATATTAAATAAACAAAATCTTCTACAAAATTAGACTCTTGATGATGCTTGTCAATCTATTTCTTCATCTGTTTCTATGCTGTTCTTATATCTTTACTTATCTGATTTCAGATCTCTCTCATTCAGTGAATGAAACTCCTTACTGCTTCTTGATTTTTTTTCTCATTTATATTCAATTTCTTTATCAGTAGTTGCTAGTCAAATAACATTTGAAGTTCATATTCATTTACTGTGAGAAAGAAGAAGATTTCTATAAAAGTATTTAAAATAGCTGTGAAGACATAATTTATAATAAGCAGTCACTCATCTTAGTCATCTTGATAGTAATTGATATAGACGTGAATACAGATGACAATGTATTGATTTGCAACTTCTGTCTATTCATCAGTTTGTATGTGATGTGTCATTAAAAGCTTCAGTTTTATACTCAGAATCTGTGTAAACTCATTTCAAAAGCTTGATATGAATTAAGAACCTTAATCAGAGACAATTGAGTCAGACATCTCATTATATGAATAGTAGAATTGAATGAATAATTAGATCAGCTTTTAGGCTGTAACTCCATAAATGACTGAAATGAAGATTATCCTTTTGCTTAGTCAGTATATTATAATTAAAATAATATTATAATCTGTTTTACTTTTCAGCATATTTATGAAGTCTATTGTAATATGCTATTATGCTTATTCTAATATTGATAATAACTTTAGCAAATCAAAAGTCTTATCTTTTGAAATTTTATTGATTCAGTATATATAGCAGTTCTAAATGTAGTGTAGAACATCTATTTATTAGATGACTCATCAATAGTATAATTGCACTAGAGTCAGAATTTTTTATTTTTTAAGATGTGCTGTTGAAACTTGATTATGAATTTTCTGTAGTAACTCAGTTATCAGAGTTTTTTTTTTCTAAACAGACATCACTAGTCTTTTATTGTACTGTAATACATTATCTTTTATTATATAAGAACTATTTTTATCATCTGCCTACTGCTGTAAAAACTCAATTGAGATGACTGTATTAGTTAAAAACAATATATGTTCAGCAATATTCTTTTTCTCTGAGGAATTGATACTAGCAATATCTATAAAAAGAGTGATCTTAGAGTCGATAGTCTCTGATTTTAGAAAAATCTATATATAGTCATTTTATTGTCTTCTAATCTGTTGAGATCTGCTCAGTGTATCTACTAGCAGATTGACCTTGCTTGATCAATACTTGATCTCTGTAAAGGGTTAAGCTCTAAGAACTAGAGGCTAGTCCTCCTATATAATAAGGACGAATTGCTTGAGAAAGGGAAGAAAAGAATGAGATGAGAACTCAAGCTTAAGCAAGCTCGCGTAGCATGATCATGTGTGCATGTGCAAATGATGACTAGGCTGAGTTAGCCAGCCAGAGCAAATCTAAGAGTTCAACTCCTTATAATACCCCTCTTCTCCCTCTTTGTTGCAGGCCTTTATAACTATTTAAAGCTCTCTTTATACCTAATTTTGCCTGCTGAGAGGTCTCTCAAGTGTTCAAAGCCTTCACTTCTTGTAGGAGACTTGCATCATTTCATGTAGGCTCAGCCCAATCTACTCATTTAATGAGGTATTGCTTTTTCCTCTGATAGATTTGTTCACTCTGAATTTTCTCAATCTCAAACTCAGATCCTTCTGAGATCTCTATAGTGAGTGACTGCCAGTTGATTTGCCTCTGACTAGACAGGGAATCTGTTATTATAGCATGTAGAAGCTTTACATTAAAGACATTGTGAATGTCAGATGAGATGTTCAGTCAGTAAGCATGAAATTCTATCTTTTCTAGCACAGTATATTGATTGTATTTCACATTCAGCTTCTTGCACAGGTGATTAGTTCTCATGTTCTCTAAGCTCAACCAGATCTTATCTCCAGGTTGAAAGCTTGAAGCTAAGTCTCTTCATCTATTCATGTATTTCTCTTGAGATTGCTAAGCATTTATCATTTTTACTTGAGCTCACTTCAACACTTCATGAGCCTTCCTCATATAATCATCTGCAAACTCAATGAGATTATATGACATTTCAATGAGAGGTGCATCAACTATATCAATAGAGGAGATGTGGAAAAGATGTGTTAAAAAGAACAGACTCATACCTGTTGAGACAGCATCTCTATTATTGATGATCAGCTCTACTAGAAGGAGTCATTCACACCAGTCATTCTATTGAAAGCTAATGTACTTGCATAGATAGGTTTTCAGAATCTGATTCATTTACTCTGTAGCTTCATCAGTTTCTGGGTGATAGACTGTGAAGAGTCATCTCTTAATGTCTAATTTCTCACACATCTAAGTTCAAAACATACTTGTGAAAGCCAACCCTCAATCTGACACTATCATCTTAGAGATATCATGTTGAAGAATGATGTTGCAAAGAAACACTCTAGTCACTATCTTCACATCAGTTTTCTTAACTGCTTTTAATATAATCCTCTTGATCAGTCTGTCTGTTATAATCATGATGTTCATGTATTCTTTAGAGCTCAGTAAGTTCATGATAAAGTTCATAGAAAGCTCCTACCACATGTGTTCAGGAATGAGGAAAGGCTTAAGTAGTCCCTGATGTTGATCTCTTCATGTAATGTTTGATCTGCAAAGATGATAGTTTCTGATCATTCTTCTCACATCAGTGGCATAGCCTGACCAGTAGAACTCATGTCTTAGAACTTCTGTCATTTGCTCTCACCTGAGATGACTGATAAGAGGTGAGTCATGAGTCTTATACACTAATCTAATTTAAAGAGGTTCAAAGTCTGACACTCACTTACAAACTTGAAAGAGAAGCTTCATGTTCTTGTTTAAAGAGCACTCAGAGATAGAGATCTTAATGCTGAGTTCAGAAGAAAATCTGAATCTTTTCTTATGAAGAATTTGCTTCAGATGCTGCAGAATCTTGTTATTTTTGCAGGCCTCATTTCACTGAGCTTGAAGAGACATCTCAGGTTCTACACTGGCAATGGCTACTATTGATTCCATTCCAGATGTCAGTATGTTAAACTTAAGTAGTTGAGCTTGTCTCTGCTTGATCCTCTCATCATCAGCATTCTGTGACATGTTCTGCTCTCTTTGTAATAAAGCATCTGATTCAGTGTTCAACTTCTTTAACTGGTAATCAATTTTGAAGTTGAATTAATAAAGAATATTCATTCAACATAGCTGTCTTTTATTTAGTCTGTGTGTAGTCATGAAGTATTCTAGATTCTTATGATCTGTGAGAATCTTGAATTTCTTTACACTTTGTAGCTTAGTGTTCTATTTCTTTAAACACTCAATTATCACTAATAACTTCTTATCATGAATCTCATAGTTGCATTCTACAGGTGAATGCTTGTGAGAGAAGAAGACACATGAGTGTAGAATACTCTGCTCATCATATTGTAGCAGCACTTCTCCTGAAATATAATCTGAGAAGTTCATTTTCAATATAGTCTTATAGTCAGAGTTGAATTGAAGCAGAATCAAAGCAGAGATAAACATTGATTTTAGATGCTTAAAAGCTTCCTCAGCCTTACTCATCCACAAAAAAGGAACATTCTTGTGTGTAAGAATCATCAGTGAGATCATGATCTTTGAGAAATCCCTGATAAATTATCTATAGAAATTGGCAAAGTCTAAAAATTCTTGTACATCTTTAAGAGTAGTAGGTGTTGTCCATTCTAAAACAGCTTTAATTTTCTCCAGATTCATTCATATACTCTTACTTACTTCAATGATGAATTCAAGATATTTTGTGCTGTTTATCTCAAACTCACTTTTTCTGATGTCTGTCTGCAGGCCTGCTTCCTGTAGATGTATAAGCACCTTTTGTACATGCTCACAATACTCCTGTAAGCTTCTTGAGAAAAATATCAAGATGTCATCTAAATAAGCTGAGCAGAAGTTGTTCAGATATCTATATAATGCCCAGTTGATATATTTTTGAAACATGCTTAGAGCATTGATCAAATCAAAGAGTGTAATCAGCTACTCAAATAGCTCATATCTGGTTCTAAAGGCTGTCATCCACTCATCACCTTCTGTGATTCAAATCTTGTGAAAAACTGCAATAATATCCAGCTTAGTGAATCATTTAGCCTGTATAATTTGCTGTAGAGTCTCACTGATTAATGATAGAGAATATTAATTCTTTCAGATGATTTTGTTAAGAGCTCAATAGTCTACACAGAATCTTAGCTCATTCTCAGACTTCTTCATAAATAGTATGAGGACAGCTGCAGAGGAGTTGCTCACTCTAATAAAACCCTTATCTAGATAATCTGTAAGAGTCTTTCACAAAGCCAGTAGTTTCTCTTGAGACATATTATATAATAAACCTCAAGAGGGTTGTTCTGTACTATCATCAGTCTTTTTAATCAGTTTGATCCCATGATCTCTACCTGGGTCACAAAGTGGGGGTAGAGCATCGGCAGCTTCCTTATCAAATATGTTCAAAAACTCATGATAATGTTCAGGCAGCTTTTCTCTAGGGTCAATCTTTGATTTCACTTCTAAAGTCTTTTGAATGTTGATCAAACTGACAGTGAAGATCTCAATGTTTTGCTTCTCTTGAGTGCTCACAAGCCTAGAGAAGCTTACAGCAGAGATGGGAATCACATCAGCTTTTGTGTTTGAACTAAACTCTATCTCTATGCCACTCTCTTCAAATCTCACAATTCTTTGATGAGGGATCATAATCACCTTTTGCTGGGCCAGCCAGGGGTCACCTAAATACATATCATGATCATGTAACTCATTCACCATGTAGAGAAAGACCTGTTCAGTTACATGACTGCCTATATCAATTTGAATGCCAGTCACTATGCTCATTGAGAGTTCTATAAAGTCTTCAAATCTGGTCATTTTAACAGAGAAAATTTCAATGCATGAAAGCTTATGCTTATTAATATAGAATTGAGAAATAAGATCATAGACATTACATTTACTGTCTATTATTGCTCTAGTTGAAAAGGCATTATCTACTAGAGTATTGACAGTGAAGGGTTTGAATATCATCTTAGATTTAAATCTTCTCCATTGCTTTCTCATAAGCTTCTTATTTCACTTCTTTCAGTGTCTTTTAGTTGAAGCTACTTTTTTCTCAAATCCTCACTCATATCCACATTGTTGTTGTCCAGTACCAGCTTGAGGATCATCTTAGCTATTGTGAAGGTGGCAAAGTGTCTGAGAGATTTGAATGAGTAGCTCTTAATCATATGATCTCCAGCTCCACATCTCAGGCACAGGCCTTGCTCTCTTTGTTGATTAATCTCTGTCTAATTTATCAATTTGATGTGGTGGATGCTTAAGATCACAGCACCAGAAGAGAGATTCATCAGATCATCAACAGAAGCTTGAGACTGATTTCATTGGTCAAGGACAGCATGATGAAGTAGAGAGTGTGAATTAGATGTCATATGATCTGAAGAAGATCTGCTCTTATGACATTTAAATCACTGCCTTAAAGTCTTAAGCTCAGAGAGTTGATAATCAACTAATCTAAGCTCCTTGTAGTAATTCTCATAGAGAGATGATTTTCTTACACTCACCATGCCTTTCCTCAGCTCCATGCTTAGAGTGGATTTCAAATACTTCTTTTTAATGTGATCATCTCATCTGTGATCACCAGCTTCTAGCAGTAGCTGATTAAATTTGAGCAGAAAGTCAAAGAGAGCTCTTCTACTGTGTTGTAAATTGTTGAGCTTTTGCATAATCTTTTTCTGTCATGCAGAATCATTAAAGAGCATGTGTGTCTGCTTCAGTAAGCTCTCTATCATGAAGTTGATCTTGTTCTTATTATTCTCAACTCAGGGATAAACTCAAGCTGCTGTCATTTCTTTCAGTCTTGAGTATACATATCAAGCACATTCCTCATTATTATCTAAAGCTTTCTCATTGACCTTAAGTTTTGATTGAAGCTTTAGCTCTCATTGAGGGTAGTGCTCCAGATTAGAATCATCATACTTCTTGCAGTCCAGTAGCTTGGTCTTTGATCTTCTGACTGCAATGAGTGATTGTGAGTTCAATTGAGAGAGAATTGATATCAGAGTGTTCAAAGCTTGTTGTAGATTAGCTATTTCAGCTTGCTGAGCTGCTATTAAATTTCTGTTCTCATGCTGAACCTGTTTCTGCTGTTGAAGAAAGATCATTCATTGTTATTCAAAGCTACTGAAAATGTCCCTGCTCATTGCTTCATGTTGATTCATATGTATATTCATTGTACAAGTCTGCTACTTTATCTCATTCAACTAGACATTTTCAATGTTGCTCATTCATTTGTTAGCATGATTGCTAACTCAGTCTATTCATATACCAGTGCTATTACTGAACTTTGTGATGCAGAATTTAAGACTTTCAATAGTCTGTTATATGTCAACACATTTGCTGAGCTTCATAATACAGGATTAAGACTCTCAGTGGCCTATCAATGAGAGGAGTGAAGCAATTCATAATGTAGAGGATTAAGCTCTAAGAACTAGAGGCTAGTCCTCCTATATAACAAGGATGAATTGCTTGGGAAAGGGAAGAAAAGAATGAGATGAGAACATGAGCTTAAGCAAGCTCGCGTAGCATGATCACGTGCGCACGTGCAAATGATGGCTAGGCTGAGTCAGCCAGCCAGAGCGAATCTAAGGGTTCAGCCCCTTATACAAAATTGATATGATTATAACTAAGTACTTGATTTGCACCAGCTTCAATATGTTCAACTTTAAAAGGACAAAAGTTTTTATTCAATTGATGAATTCAATTCTTGATCACTTCCTCCCGGCTATCACTCAATGTTTGATTGATTGGAGTTTTCATATTCCTTGATCTCTTTTCTTTAATATGTTCATATATTATTCTATATGAAATTTTAAATTCTCACACCACATCTATGATTTTTATATTTAGATTTGATTTTATAGTGTCTAATGCCATCTGGATCTGATCTTTTGAATATTTATTATTATTAGGCATGGTGGTGGTGGTTATTAATTTTTGAAGATTGGTGATGAATATACAAGAAGAAGATTTTCATTATGGTGATATTTTCTTTAAGGTGGGGCGCACTCACTAATGGTGAGTGCGCGTGGCACGGTTAGAGCATAGTTAGAAAAAACGGTTGAGGAGTCAATAAACGCGGAGATCAATTTGTCAGTTGGCACGTCAGGTGTTGGCTTCTCTCCGACAATGTCACCCTCTCCCACTCTATGGCCGACCGTTACGAAATGATCCCCTTCAATTCGTGTCTTTTACACTTTACATGGAGATGTCACTTCCCATCCATTGTTTTGTCAGAAAGATTAGTAACATTGGTACCCTCAAAGCATCTCTCACAAGAGAAATGCGCACCCACTATTCTAAAAACATTTCACACCTAACCCCCTCGACGCAAGATGGATAAAACCCCTGCAGCTTCTGAGACTGCCCCTAAGTAAAAATACATTGAGGATTGTGAACAGTTAGAGAGGTACTGTCCAGGCGGCTTTTACCCATTAAAGTTTGGTGATCGACTTTGTGATGGACGTTACTCTATTGTCCAGAACCTTGGATTTGGCGGCAGCTCTACAGTATGGCTGGCTTCTGACCAGAAGCAACAGGAGTTAGTTGCTATCAAAAAAAAGTCTGCTGATTCTGCCTCGAAATCCCAGGAAGTAGATATTCTAAAACATCTTCATCCGCACCCATTGATCAGACAGCTGCCGGACAATTTCATTGAAATTAGTCCCAATGGAGCTCACAATTGCCTGGTCATGGAAATGGCTAGTTGTAGCTTGACGCAATCAAAGTCCTTGGCCTTTCACGGACTACTGGATCTTCATATCGCTCGAGCTATTGCTGCAGACCTGGTTTTAGCCGTCCAGTTTTTACACGGACAAAGCATTATCCATGGTGGTGAGTAGATAATCATTCCAGATATACACAGTGTCTAATCAATCCTACGGATATACATTGTGGTAATATCTTTCTTCGACTTCCTGCCGACGTTCGCCGAATGATAGACCCTTCGCAATTGTATCGGAAATTTGGCGATCCAATTCTTGAGCCTATTGTCCGAGTTGATGGCAAACCTCTCCCAGCAGGAGTTCCTACTCACGTCGTTGGGCCTGCAAGAGTTGGAATTCGGTCTGACCAAATCACCCCTACCTATTTGCCCATCATGCTCTCCGACTTTGGTTCGAGTTACTACCCTAGTAAAACAAGACGGACTAACGCATATACGCTCCCCCATCTTGTTCCACCTGAAATTTTCTTTCTTGACAAACAAAACGATAAATATAACCTTTCATTCCCCAGCGAAATTTGGACCCTTGGATGTACCATATTTGAAATCATTGGTAGTGGGGGCCCCTTTAGTACCTTAGGTGGTGGCATACTCCAGGACCAAGTCAGTGTTCTGGGAAAGCTCCCTGATCCATGGTCGTCACAATGGGAGTCCAGAGCCGATTTTTTTAACGAGGATGCAACTATTGATATCACGACTGGTGCTCCTTTCCAAGATAGCCTGGAAGAACGGTACGATTGGTTCGTTAACGCAGCTCGGCGGCGATCAGACATGGAAGAGCAGGGGGAGGATGAGAAGAAGGCTTTCCTGCATATGATTTTATTTACCAAGCGACAGGGCTACCATTAGGGATGTTGTTGAGTCTGAGTGGATGCAAAAATGGGCATTTCCTGCAAAGCAGGAAATTAAGTAAGAAATCAGAAATAAAAATGTTCAAATCACTACCAAATTGTGGGTAGATCTAGCGAGGGCAAAGACGTTGAGAGTCACCCAAAAGATATGTTCTGATGCTACGTTATTCACTAAGATGGTTGCAATGCTGTTCATTGGGTTGCGTTAAATCAATATGTTACGGCATTACTGTTAACCAATAACTACATGTTCCCGATTCACTCAAGATTAAGCAAATTCCCGATTTTGTTGCTCTCCTTCAGAATCCAGCAGGCCCCTTTGGCATCGACTCCCATGTCCTCCTGAACCAACATCTCCAGCAGTTCGGGAACCAAAACCTCCTGGGCATACACAACGGTCCCATACTTCGACGCCACGCTATTGATTCCGGCCAGTGAGTCGATGGCATCTTTAAAGTGAGACACGACATGCGCTGAGCTGGGGGGAAGGTCAGGGAAGAGGTTCCTCGGTGGGTTCGCGGGGTTGGGGGTGGGGTCGAGGGGTGTTTCTTTACTCACAGAATCTCATGGCCTCTAAGGCCATAGTAGCCAGTACTGTGCAGGACACTCCGGGAGAGGATATTCCTGCCATGCTTCCGCACTTTCTTGTGCACAACACTCTTATAGCGGGAGCGGTACCCGGGGTCATCGAGGGTCCGGCGCAGGCGAGGATGGAATTGAGTCAACCGATCATCTAGGCGGTCCCAAGCAATGATGGGATAACAAAGTCGGGACCACTCGTGCCGTGCGGTTTCCTTTCAGTGCTTCTCGCAGAACCGCAGCTGCTTGCGGACCCGCATGCGATTGTTGGCGGCATTGAACGCACTGGAAGCTTCCACCTCGACCACAGAATTGCACACTGGGCACATGGAGGTCACTGTTGAGGACGGAGATGGTGTGCGGGGTTTCGCATTCGGTGTGGCCGGATCATCTGCTGGTTGGGGTTGTCCGCCGGGAGAGCGATGTGAAGTTTCGAGGGGCGTGGGCGGCTTCGATAATGGAAGGGGTTCACCAGCCGACGCACGACCTGGTAGGCTCGCATGGCATCAGTAAGTACCCATTGCAACACACATTCTACGCATGGGCGCGCTTACATTTCCCCTCTTGCCTCCGCTTGTCGGTGGGAGGGTTGCTTGCGTGCGTATTCTGAAGTTTTGTGTACCATCGCTGCCGCAAGGAGCCGAGTTGTCTGTGTGGAAACCGCTCCTCGATCTCCGGCCAAGAGAAGCCATCCTGCTTCAGGGCCATTAGACGGTTGTCCTCCTCTCGAGTCCAGCGACGTCTTTTCCCATCCAGACCCTCGACCTTCCGTTCGCTGTAATCTCTTCCATGGTAAAGGGGGGAGGGGTTTCTGTATGTAGAAGATCAGCGGGAGAACGCGGAACGGTAATTGAAACTGGTGGGAAGCTGACCTGGAACTTCTCAGGGAGTCAGTGAGGCCCTACCATCATCCACCATCCTGTCTAATTCGTCACTTTGATCGGTTGGCGCCTGGCAGGTCACAAGAAACTAGCAGCATTGATATCTCGAATAACTTTATCTAAAATCTTACATTATTCTTTCACTTTTAACCCGTCTTCGCCGGTAACACCAGGAATGAGCTGGCAATTGCTTGTCACTCCATATATCCCAGGCCTGCGCAAACCCTATTTGAGCAGAACACAAGCGCGATAGATCAACTGTCAAGGTGACCATGAGGAGGCAACCAAAGACCATCAACAGTATGGAGCCTATCGTCAAGAACACAATATCTTCCATCAACAACGCGTTGACGCGCCGAAATCCCACCCTCCGGTATGTGATCTTGTCTCTGGAGGATTGTTGTATTTGGACTGCTTCAGTTGCAGATGTACTGGTGTGGGATAGTCCGGAAAGGGGTTTAACATTTGACTAGTGACCGAATCAGGTCACCAGTGCTCTGCTAGAATTTTGCACTTGATGTAATCCAAAATGACTATCATATACATAGCGTTCAGTGTTGGCTGGGCAGATTCTAATCACTCGACAATACAATCCGGATAAATACATAGCCTCACATTCCAGATCCTCTAACCTCAAGTTAGCCAGATATACCAGCAAGACAGGCATACAAGACAACAATGAAACAAAAGTAATTCACTGACTCCCATTTGACTGAACCTATATTTAGCACTTCCGCGGCTTTTTCTGATGTTATGATCTCCTAGGCTCTGGAAAAGGGGACTGTGCTCACTTTCTCACCTGAGAGGCCCTTCTTGCAGACCCGACGTCCAACCTCTCCTTGTATTGCTTGAGCTGATCTGGATGGACCTTCGCAACGTCATCCTCCAACTGCCATATGGGCGCCCACAGGAGAAATTCAAGATGCCCTTCCCTAGTCTCATGATGTAGCAGGATATTCGGGGGGCCGCTTGTGTCTGGCTCAAGGTGGTGTGCAAAAGAGTCGCTGAGTGTGGCATGGGTTTCCTCAGAGATGTTATCTGGCAGTGCACTGGAGATGGACTACGGTGGTGATGGTTCAACATTCTCCTTGCTGCTGCCAGCGCAGTTGAGGCCTCCTGTATTCATTAATATATGCCCTCTGCAGCCCACAGTATCAGGGAAACTAACGTTCACATGCAGTGACCACTGTTGGCTCTGGCTCTGTCTGGTACTGGCTGGAGGGGTCCTGTTGGATGTGATCCTGACTGTGGCTGCGTCTGCAACTCCTCTTCCAAGTCCTGAATTGATGTTGCCTCTCTGCTCCTTCCATCACCAGTTTCACTATCACACTCACACTTGGTGTCGCCTCCAAGGGGTGACATTTCTCAATCTTCACTGAGAGGTTCTGTGTTGTGTTTTTCATCCAGTCTATCATCCAGATCAATCAGGTTGTCTGGTGATGATCCAGGTTCACTGTCAGCTGAGTGAGGAAGGCTCAGGCGGACAAATTGTGACAGAAGTTGATCCATAGTCAGGGGACTTGATCTAGGTGACCTCTGGGTATCATAGAAGCTCAACTGCCAAGGATTCTTGTTTGAATACTGATCAGATTTTGTACTGACAACTCAGGGCTGTTTTACGTACCTGGAATCTCGTGTACCACAGCATGTTCTGGTAGAGAGAGTGATTGTTTCAACTCCCAAGAGTAGTTAACTATACTTTTTTCGACGTCCTCTAAAAAGCTTTAGCCACCAGTTAACCAGTTTTTTTTGGATGTTGATTGACATCACGTGTTTAGACGCGGGGCGTATGTCTTTCAACACGAACCTAAACTTCTCCGTTCACAGGAACTTCAATCTACAAATATGCTCAATGTTGACAACAAATTGCACCAACTGCAAGTTCCTGTGATGCCACTAACTGCCCTTTGATAAGTGCCAGCCATGAGATGACTCTATGACAAAGCATAATTTAGAAGATCACCTGTCCTGGCTGTTGAATCGTGGGCCTTTCATACCGCCTCTGCTGCCAGCGCAAGCACATAACACGGCTGGAGAGAGCACAACACAGCCAAGCGCTCCTGGCTTTCCAACCCCTTCCGATGAGGCGTATAGCACCAACAACGAGACTATTGTCATTTTAAAGCCTAGCGAACACAACTTTGGCTCACAGGATGCTAAGGTTCAGGAAGCCGATATCGGGTATGAGTTGATATCGGCTGTGGATATGGCCCGGCTTCAATTTGCTCCCCCGTCGTCTACGAAGCCTCGAATGTTGAGTACTATCAAGCAAAACCCGCCTACTTCACCAGACACATCCTGTGTTTTGAAGAGACACTACAGCTTTCCTGGTCCTGATGAGGCGCATTCTCGACCGAAGAACAACAGTTGGTTATCCCATTGAATTCGCCCTTGCCCTCCATATATATTAACCGTATAATTAGCTAGTGTATGGAGCCCCTCAGGAACCACTCCACCACTAATGAGTCCGAAATCATTATCTCGTCAAGAGTCTTATCCTCGGGATTCTAAGGTTTCCGCAAACATTGTCGATGCTATCGATTTAACCGGTGATCAAAGCCTCCATACTACATCGTCGGGAACCGTTGAAGCTTTTGGGGAACCACTACGAATATGGAGGGAAGACTACGCATCCCGTCCCGAGCCATTGGGAAGTCGTGGCGTAAAACGAAAGAGCGACGAATACGAAGCAGACACAAAATTCTCAAGGAAACTATTGTCGCGAAGTTGCTCTCCAATGTCTCCAGTGCAATCAGACAAAAAGGAACGCGCCGATTTCGCTCTAAATTCAACGCATAGCAAGTATGTTAAAAGGCCTTCGTTACACACGGTTATTGGTGACTCAGAGGGTGAAGACGATGGGATTGATATTTTTCCCACTGATAACGAAGAGGGCTACCGGTCTCCTAAATGTCCATTGAATGGACTTGACTTGTATCCAAAGCTATCTAAGCCGCGAAACGGCCGGCCGGAAAAAGCCAAACCCAAGAAATTGCCGTCCTTTGATCGAGCAACTTCAAGGGAGACTAGTTGCCGGCCCTCTGTTGCTTCTCCTGTCCAGCAACACACCACTATATCGAATATACAGAAACACAAAGATCGTAGCAATGTCTCCGATAGTTCTAGGTCCTGTGGCTCTCCCAGCCATCAAGGAAGACAAAATCCTACCTTGGCCCATTTTCTCTCTCTTCCCACTCGTTCCGTTGGCAATTTCCTGGAAAGGCTTAAAAGTGACCGTTCAAGAAATGCAGAGTTGGCGTATCAGCGGGCTATGGACGCTATTGATGCTTCTGATTTAATTCGTGAAAATAAGATCTTGAACTCAAAGATTGGAGCCCTTGAGAATCTCCAAATGGAACACAAAACCTATTCTTCGCTGCTGACTAAACAGAATGAACTTAAAAGGCGAATAATACAGTCTGTGGAACGAGCAACGATTCTCCCTGGATCGTCTGCTGATGTTGACGAAGCTCGAAAACTTGTATGGCAGAGGCAGGAACAAGAAGCTAAATTGGTTGACTTGATTGAGCAATCGGGGATCCTTAGCGAAAATTCGACCGCCGTCAACGGTGCTGAGCCACCAGAACATAAAATTTTAATTACGGGAACACAGTTTCCAAAGCAGCGAACCTATGATATTCCAAAGTCTTTCGATTCCTTTTCTTCTTCATCCTGCCTCCCTAATATTTCCCGCCTTCTTCCACCGTCTGTGCCGTCGACGCTCACAGGACCCAAAACTCCCCGAAGATTTAGTTCTGGAAATACATCTTTCCGCGATAATAATGATGACGACGAGTTCATGCTGGATAGTGATGATATATTCTCGAGGAATATGGGAACTCCTGTTGCCCTTGATATGCTGGATTTCGACAACGATGCGGATGATTTTGATATGCTTGAGGCAGCGAAACATTTTGAAAATCAATGGTCTGGATCTGCACGCGAGCATGTTTTTGGAAGCCAGAACTTTGGTCGTGGGCCAACCTCCTCTGCCAAGAAACCCGTGCCTGAATCATTGCAGTATCCTTGGTCCAAGGATGTCAAGTCCGCATTGTTACATCGTTTCGGACTCTCTGGGTTTCGTCTCAATCAATTGGAAGCCATTAACGCCACACTAAGCGGGAAAGATGCTTTTGTTTTGATGCCAACAGGGGGAGGGAAGTCTCTCTGCTACCAATTACCTGCTGTCGTCAACAGCGGTACTACAAAAGGGGTTACGGTTGTCATATCACCTCTTTTGAGTTTGATGGAAGACCAGGTTGCACATTTGAAAGAATTACACATCCAGGCGTTCCTCCTGAACGGAGACGTGAGCAAGGAACACAAATCTTTGATATACAGTGCTCTAGCCAACCCTAATGTTGAGAAGCTTATACAATTACTTTATGTCACCCCTGAAATGGTGAATAAAAATGGAGCATTGCTAGGTGCATTGAGTCACCTTCACAGCAGAAAGAAGTTGGCACGCATTGTTATCGACGAAGCTCATTGTGTAAGTCAATGGGGCCATGATTTCCGACCCGATTACAAAGAATTGGGCAACACCAGAGCAAAGTTCCCAGGAATACCGCTCATGGCACTTACTGCCACTGCCACAGAAAATGTCAAAATTGACGTTATCCACAACCTCGGTATGCGTAACGCGGAAGTATTTGTCCAGTCTTTCAACAGACCCAATCTGACCTACGAAGTCCGACCGAAGCCCAAAAACACAAATGTTATTGAGAGCATTGCTGAAACAATCAACGAATCATACAGTGGTCAAGCCGGAATAATTTACTGCCTATCAAGACAAAGTTGCGAAAAAGTGGCAGCACAGTTGCGTGATAAGTACAAGATAAAGGCTGCCCACTATCATGCTGGTTTGCCCTCGGAAGAACGAATATCGATTCAAAGAGATTGGCAATCTGGAAAATACAATGTTATCGTGGCAACAATTGCCTTTGGAATGGGAATCGACAAGGCAGACGTTCGTTTTGTGATACATCATACCATACCGAAGAGCCTTGAGGGATATTACCAGGAAACTGGGCGAGCTGGGCGAGATGGCAAACGGTCAGGTTGCTATCTTTATTATGGATTTCAAGATACGGGACCCCTACGGCATATGATTGACAAGGGCGAGGGGAGTTTCGAGCAGAAAAAGCGCCAACGCCAAATGCTTCGCCACGTTGTCCAGTTCTGTGAAAATGAAAGTGATTGCCGGAGGGTACAGATCCTTGCCTACTTCAATGAAAAGTTTGAGCGAGAGAACTGCAATCGCTCTTGTGATAACTGTAAGTCGGACTTGACTTTTGAATCAATGGATTTCACAGATCTTGCTGTTTCTGCTGTGAACCTCGTTGGGCGTCTCGAGAAGCAGAAGGTGACAACACTCTACTGTGTGGATATCTTCAGGGGAGCTACGAGGAAATTTGCAGACTCTGAGCACAAATACTTTCCCGAATTTGGTGTTGGGTCTGAGTTGGATCGCTCTGATGTCCAACGATTATTTTCCTACCTGCTTTGTGAAGAGGCCTTGAAGGAAGAGAATGTTATCAACAACGCACATTTTGCTACTCAATACGTGCAGCTTGGCGTTAGAGCATCCGAATTCCTCAATCGTCGTCGTAAGATCATGCTCCCAATTCGCGTTTCAGCAAATCGGAAAGCTACCTCCCTAGCTAAACCCGCCGCCACGCGAAATCGCGGAACTCGAGTTCGTTCACTGGGGAACGAGCATCCACAGTCTACTAATGTTTCATCTCCTGTTCAAGCATCATTGCGGCGACGGAATCTTGGACGAGGTTTTGTAGGCCCGAACATACCTGAAGATGACGACGAGGATGATAGCGATGGCTTCGAACCAATACGTGAGGCTGGTCAACATAGTCGGTCGGATGCCAATGATCTGGGACCTCCAATCACCGATGACGGAAAATTTTCTCGGCTGGATCACCTCCAGAGCATTATGGTGGAGGAGTTTATGTTTTATGCCAAAAATACATGCCATGATGTATGTTACACTTCATACTTTTTGGGGGCTTTAAATTCCCGCTAACCCTATAACAGATTATGTTGAAAAGATCCCTTCGAAGTCAACCATTTCCTGATGCTATTCTGCGAGAAATGGCAATCAACTTGCCGAAAGGTAAATACCAATGAAAGTGTGACAGGCCTCTCTTGCTAATATATAGCCAGATAAAAAACAACTTTTGAAAATACCCAATATTGATCCAGACAGGGTCGAGCGTTATGGGACCCAGTTTCTTCACCTTATTCGACGAGCAGAGGATCGCTATCAGGAACTCGTGGCAGAGAGAGATAGGGATGGATCTCCGATTCCAGACCCGAATCATGAAAACGTCATCAACATCAGCAGCGATTCCGAACTAGGCTTTAGCGACGACCTTGACGATTTTATTGACGACACGCAAGCTACAGGTGTCCCGCTAGACGAGCAAAGCTCTTTCTTTGAACAAGATGACGAGGTCGCTGCATTTAATGCTCGCAGTGAGTTAACGCCTGCTGACTCCAGTTCACTACTTACGTTGTCACTAATCGGTACATTCGACAGTGTATGAACTTCAAACAACGCGAGCTTCTGGCCCTGCCACCGGCACACCCAAGACGCAGCAACCTCCAGGGCCGTCAAATCATGGTGCTGGT